TGTAGATGTGATATCACTTGAAAGAATCTTCTAGTATGGAACCACTTGTTGGATTTATCAATAAAAACCATTTCTTGAACATTTGCTATCTTCATGAGTACCACTCATAGGATATCACTTGTGAGTTGATTTAGACATTACTTGTAGATTCTTGATGAAATACTTGAGTCTAGATACCACTTGTAACAAACAAACTAGATATCTATTTGTATTGTTGTCTAGTGCTTGTACTCTTATCACCATCATGAGCTTCTTGAACTAAATTGATTTGCCTAAGCTTCTAAGTCCGATTTGAACCAATGACAAGCTTCTTCACATCTCTTGCAAGGGTTATCTTGCCAATGTTGTACTTATCACTTGTTGGCAATCCAAATTAAATCAAGTACTTGGGTTTACTTAGCTCATGAATAAATTCATATACTAACCACTAGATCAATTAATCATTCAAGTAATAGTGGTAGGCTATGAATGTAAACATTTCATTTGTTATGCATGATCCTATGAAGTATATACTATATACACTAACCGCATACTAGTAAGGAATGAAATGATCATGCACATTACAATGATACCTTTGCTATGTTGGAGTAGAGAATAGTCATATAGATTCCAATTCATTACTCCAATAGCAATGTGAAGTCCAATTATAAGCTTGGTGAAGACCAATTAGATCACTCGAGTGGTACTAGATGATCGATATGCAAACAAGTTTGCCCCTCTTGATAGTACGACCATCTATCATAAACCCGGTCATCAACTTCTCTACACACCTATGACCGGTGAAATGAAATGCCCTAGGTTATACCTTTGCCTTGCGCATTTCATTCCATCTCCTCCAATGTCGATGCAACACATGCACCAACATGATCAACAATGATATGATCCACTTTATATCATCACGTGATCATATTGGCTCATTGATCTTGACTTCAGTTGTTTTTCACCGTTGGCTTCGTCCATTGGCGCCAAGTCTTGCTCAAGCTTCACCACCACGCGGTCCATCGCTCCAAAGCCTCCGACTTGCCCTTCACGCTTACAACCGGTCTATCAAGCCAAGTCTTGTCTTGATCTTCTCCACCTTGATCACATGACTCAATGTCATGTCTCATGTACAATAAGCTCCTTCATCATCACATGTGTGAGCTTTGCAATATCTCAAAACCATTTTTACCTTCACGACATATGTTGCTCACATACATGTACTTGTGGACTAATCACCTGTGTATCTCACATAAACATAATTAGTCCACCTAGGGTTGTCACTCAATTACCAAAACCACACAAGGACCTTTTAGATGCTCCGTCGACTCAACCTACGCAACCTACAGGCACTAGGCGACGCCGTCCGCTTGACCCTTTCACTCCAGGCACCGACGCTCTTAGCCACAAGGGTAAGGGTAAGATTGGGAGGCATTGAGGGCATTTGGTAGACTTTGTGGTAGACTTTGTAGTAGGCTTTTGTGGTAGATATTATTATGGACTATTATGAACTTTATGGACTTTTATTTTGAACTATTATGTGTTGTATGGACTATTATTATGGACTGTATGGACTATAAATATGGATTGTGTGCACTATTAATATGCTCATGTGTAGGGTTTGAGATGAATGTGGTATATATTTGTATATCTGAACATGTTGTATTGAGGTTATATATTCATGTCATATTTGTATATGGATTGCATCAAAAAATAGGAGAAACTCTACCGAAATTTTCTAGCTAAAGAATATGTGTGCAATACACCTATAGCATCTAGCCTTTATAGTGATTTATCATATCACCGTCGTATCATACACAGACTTTTATAGATGCATTGACTGCTCATACGAATGTAGACTTTTCAGTTGAGCTTTGAAATAGGCTTTTTAGTCTGCCTTGAAACATTGATTGAAGTGTGAATTCGAATAGGCTTTTCAGTCAAGGAATCTAGGCTTTTCAGTGTTCTTCGATGTAGGATTTTTAGTGATTCTAAGTAGGCTTTCCAGGAACAGCTATAACACAATACAATGGATAGTAAACCTGCCTCTGCCTATATATATGCTTTGCGGGATGCATCGCTAAGCAAAACCAAAACTAGTATTTACTTTCGTTGGAGTATGAATGTCTAGAGGGTCGTCTGGAGGAAAAGGTTTCGGCAGTGGGAGAGGAAAGGGGGGACGAAGGGAACTCCCATAGTGTGGGAGGGGTCTCTTAGTCCTGATTTCTTTGAGGAACCGGTTGATCAGTTTCCCCTCGAGAGCAAGAGTGATTTCACCAAAGAGTGCCCTCTCAGAGGATACGATAACCAAAAAAAAGATTGGCCCAAATGCATGCATGGTGAGGACTGCTTAGTGCAGATGTTCACCGAGGGGATGCATGTAGGCCATCACTTCTTCAAATGCCCGCGAGCATGGGTAATTACTATTACTATTCGTTTGTTAAATATGTTTATCGATTGCACTACAACTTACATGACATACTTAATGCAGTCTTTCGAGTCTGAAGAAAACTATGGGTTCACTAGGTGGGTCGATCCTCGTCCAATTTATCCGCATCAGCAGTACATCTACTACCTGCAGAACCGTATCTTCGAGCTAGAAATAGAAGTTAGCAGTGGTTACAAGGACGACGAAGATGACGACAACAACAATGGTGCCGGTTCACATGAGGCACTCTACAATGATCCATACTGGACCTACCCTAATCACAAGAACAAGGGGACTTGCCGCCACCCCTGCCACCACCACCACCAACAATGGGAGGATACTATGGAGAAGGTGCAACGCAATTTGCTATGTGGCCACACTACTAGGAGGAACCTATCTTATTCACATGCCACATCATGTGTTTGTTGATTCCTTTAATTACCTAAGGTATGTTAGGTTAAGTCGAAGGACCTATGTATCCTTGTTTGGTACATGTTCTCACATGCCATTTCATGTGCTTGTTATTCGCTTCAATCACCTAAGGCATGTTAGGTTTAGTCGAGGACCTCTGTACTCTAGTTTGGCACATGTTCTCACATGCCATTTCATGTGTTGTGCGTGTCGAATTATGTAATGCACTAGTTCGTTATATTTTATTTGCAGTACATGAACTCATTTCACTACCTCCGCAATATAAAAATAAATATTATGACCATAAATAATGAAAACAGTAGCACAATGAAAAGTCCAATACTAGGGCACATTACACAACACATTGATAATAGAAGTACATGCCGATAAACTAAATAACATAGTAAATAGTCTAAGTATGTCCATAATTAAAGTGCAATACATGACAACACAATAAAAAGTCAAAGACTAGACAACATTGTTCATTAATAAACCATATAACTTGCAAGTCATGGAGACTACTGAGTGCAATGAGGCTACTTTCCCTTCCTCAGGGCATCGGGATTCTCCTCCATCGCTGATTTCGCTCGGCGCGCACGCTTAAGCTTCTTCTCCCTTTCCTCTCTATACGTAGCAACACACCTCCTTTCCTCTTCTTTCTTGTGTTCCTTTTCTGCAGCCACCTCTTTGTGTCTCCTCTCGATCAACTCTTTGTCCTCTGTCTCCCACCATAAGAGTTTCTGCATCCACTCATTATCTTCTGGCTTAATTTCAGTGTCGATCCACTGCTCAAAATCACAGAGTGATGGAGGGGTCTTCAATACATTCAAATTTTACACACCAAATAAACTATGCATGACTTTATATGATACAAAATAATTATTACGCAACATCAATTTCCCACCATTTTGTTAATGCGGCGCTGACGAAGTGTAGGCTCAAAGGTAAAATTGGCACACATCCAATACCTCTGTCTATACGTGTCCTCTTCATCGGACTTCGCTAACTTGCAAGGATCACCGCAAAAGCACATGGGCACTGGAACACCACTAGACAGAGGCAATGGGTCGAAGGCATTTTCGGTCATCCGGCCATAACTATAAATAAACCAATTTCGTTCTAAGAACCGAAAGCAATAACCATTAAACCATAAACATAAAGTTTTTTATTTGTTGCACATAAATGAACTAGTAATATAACACGATTGACAGAGATTACATTGGTTTACTAGCTTTATCACGCATTGCCATCCTACCGTTACATAATACAAAAAATTAATAATCACTTCAAACAATAAGTACTAACGTATTTAGGGTTACAAAATACACGTAATATATACCAAACCAATGCGGAAAAAATAAGAAGGGGAGAGAACATACCTTACTCTCGAAGATCTATGGATCAAATCCAACTTTCTAAGGTCAAATTGCTCGATTCAAGAGATTGGACGGTTTGGAGAGAGAAAAATCCGAGAACAAGAAGGAAGAAATAAAAAGGAGTCTCGGCCAGGGAAACCTTGGCGTGGGTTTTGAATACGAGGTCGACGCTATGGATCTTGGCTCTGAGATCGGCGCCGAGACCCATGGCTCTGAGGTTGGCGCCAAGATCAGTGGCTCCGACCTCGGCGCCAGGGTCCGTGGTGTCGACCTACTTGCCACGTCAGCGCCACTTGGATACCCTGTTTTGCCCGGTCAGGCATTTCGGCGCCAAGACCTACAGCGCCGAGATATGTTACCTCGGCGCCGTAGGCAACGGCGTCGACAAGGGTCAAAGATCATTTTACGTCGTCCATGTGGTTAAGCATAAATTTTATTAAAAAAAGGGTCTAATTGCAAAAAAAAAAAAAAGGTTACGACGACGCGGCAGGCGAACTCCCGCGAAGAGCGAGACTGAATCCACCACAAATCAATCACCACCGTCCACTTCCACCATCCGGCCAAATCAAACGGTTACCGCGAACCTCACGCTCCAAAACGAATAAAAAATCCCAGAGCTGAAAACCAACACGTCAACCTCCCCCTCCCGAAGCAACCCCACCTTCTTTTTTCCGCCTTCCTTTCCCCGTGCGACAAACGCGAACGCGAACGCGACCCAACGAATCGAATCAAATTCGCCGTCCACCTCGTCGGCGTCGGCGCCACCGGCCTCGAGCCCAAGCCTCCCGTCCGATCAGCCACCGGAGATGCAGCACGGGAGCGGCGACTACGCGTCCTCCGCCCCCTCCGGCCACTACTACCAGCACCAGTACGCGCCTCCCGGCTCGAACCCCTATCCAGCCGCCACCGATGCCCCGGCGCCGGGTGCAGTGGCAGGGGGCTACGCCTCTGCGCCACCCTACTCTCTCGGCAGCGGCTACCCCGACCAGCCGCCCTCCGCCCCAACCTACTCGCAACCACCCTCCGCCCCGGCATACGCGCAGCCGCCGCCCCAGCCCCAGCACGGCGCCGGGTACCCGCCCTACAACACCAACCCCACGACCTACCCGCCGGAGGCGTACTACACCTACACGCCGCCGCCCACCCAGACCACGGCCCCGCCGCCTCCGGAGCCCAACCCCGTGCCGCTGCCCTACGACGCCCCGTACTACGGGGGCGGGTACCAGCCGCCGGCCGCGGGGTACGACAACGAGGATTACCTGAACGAGGGCACGTACGCGTACAGCGGCGGCGGTGGCTCGGAGCCGTACGGGGTGCGCGGCACGGCCCCTGCGCGGTCGGGATCCGCGCTGTTTGATGACTATGGAAGGTCGATCAGTGCTCCATCTGATGACTATGGGCGGTCGATCAGTGCCCCATCTGGATGGGAGGAGCAATCGTGGGGCAGTGGTGGCGGTGGCGGTGGCGGAGGGGGTGGGAGCTACGGGGTGATCGCAAAGGCCCTTCCAAAGGCCGAAACACATGAGGATGCGAGTGGTGGTGCACAGAAGTTTCGGGTTAAGCTGCTGCCAGAGGGTGCTGGGAACCCTACTGATGTGCTTTGCCAGGTACAGTGATAATAATCTTGATGAAATTATGCATCATTGGCAACATTTGTTTGAAGACTGGGAGGTCTTGATGATATTATTCTAGGATTCACTAATTTTCCTTGGGAATTCCTGTAACTCATTGAACCCACATCTAGTATTTGTTGTTTATAAATTATAACAAATAAAAGCAACTGCCATTTTGGTACATGTAATGTCTTGATGGTGGTGTTGCAGATTGGTCTCGATGGAATTCGCATGCTTGATCCGAGTACAAGCAGGACCCTAAGGATTTATCCGCTTGATTCACTGACAAGATGGGAGGTGAGTTGGCCAACTTCTTCTTATGAAGACGATATTTGTATCTTTGTACAACACAAATTCATTAGAGTTTTTATATTATTGTTTGTTTGCTCTGCTAATTTAGGTTTTGGATGCAACTATATTTGCATTCTGGGCGAAGACATCAGTGGATGTTGAACCAAAGATAATTAGGCTGAAGTCAAGCAGTTATACTTCCAATACTATGCTTGACACTGTGACAGCAGCAACAGTGCAGGTATTGCAGCAACACTGTTTTTCCTGTCCCTGATAGTATTTAGCCTCATATTTCCTACTAGCAAGATGCTTCTGTGATGATGCCTTAGTTTCTTTATATATACATCTTTTTGCTTCCAGTCTTATTTGTCTTTGTTGTTGCTTCATATCTGAACTAAATCTGTAATGAGAAGCCGGAAGATTTAATCCTATCTGCTAGCATGCATCAGTTTTAAGATGGAACTTCATCTAGTCTAACATGTTTATCATCATGCACATATATACTAAGTAAGGACTAAGGAGTTCATGTTTTAGTTCTTTTCATGGTTTACCCCTATTGATTATGGATTGTATAAATTTATATCTCCTTGATACCAAAAGTAATCAATAGGAATAGTAGTTAGAGGAGAAAACAAAACTTAAATAGTTTCCAAATAAACTTCTATAAAGCAGGAGGTTGTTACAATAAAATTGTATTCTAGTTTTCCACATTGCTAAATGAGACGTAACACATAACCTATAAGGAAAAAGTCTACATAACCAAAGTTCAGCTAGGCGCTAGGCGGAATCTAGGCGCTGACCCATTGCCTAGCGCCTAGTCGGGAGTACTCGGTCCTAGGCGTTTTCCTAGGCGTTTTGGCAATATAGCCATAAATTATATATATATTATGTATATAACTATATATATGTATATAACTACTATATATGAGTCACAGTAAGTATAAAAAGAGGGCCAGTAGACATATCTGATTCCTAGCTGGCTTACTCTTGCATGTTCCTAGCTCCTGCAACACATTTTGACAGCTAGTAGTTAGTAAATTAGTCAATAGACAGCTAGCTGTTCATCAAAAAAAAAAATAGAAAACACTAAGTTATGACTTATCTGGATGATTTCAGCAGCCTCCCATCCATGAGCACACTATATCAGCAGCTGGTAATTACAATACAAGTGGATAGGACAGTAATATAAGTGCACAACACAATTTATAAATAAAGGACAGCACAAGCACATAGTTCTTAGTTTAGGTCTCACAAATCACAAAAGAAGACACACAGACACAAAGTGACACAGCTGCAGTTCATAAGACCAGGGCATCACAAAAGGCTTCACTACTAGATGGAGATGGTCCAGATCATATTTCTTCTTCACTGTAGTACACATCCTCATCGTCATACTCTTCTTCTTCAGACTCAAATTCTTCTCCTTCATAGAGCTCCCTCACTCTTGCACTTCTACGCAGCTCAAGCTTGGGGACTTGGGGTGGCCGGCGGGGAGGGGTTCCAGTCGAGGACGAGCAGGACGGCGGCGGCGAGTCGACGACGAGCAGGACCGGCGGCGCGCGAGTCGGGGATGAGCAGGGGACAAGCTTGGACGAGCATGGGAGGAGCAAAGGAGGAGCAGGACCGGCGGGAGGTGCAGGACCGGCGGGGAGGAGGTCATCCGGCGGGATGGACCTCGCCCGGCGAGGAGGACCGGCGGCGGGGACGACCAAATGTTACGCGGGGACGAGCGAATGGCGCCGCGCTCCCTTCTGATCCTCCCGCGCCTGGGTCTCCTGGCCGCGCGCGGGCCTGGCCGCGCGGGAATTCCTCCCGCGCTCCGATTTGGCGCGCCAAAATTGGCCGCCCTCGAGCTCGCGCTCATCTCGTGCGCCTACGCGCCGCATCCGCGCCCGCCTAGCGCCGCGATGCGCGACTATGCCCCTAGTCGCGGCGACGGGCTTCGCCCAGTGACTAGGCGCGCGTAGTCGCCGAGTAGTCGCCGCCTAGCCGAACTTTGTACATAACCCCCTCAACTATTCAGGGTGGACTACTTCACCCCCCAAACTATAAAAACGGATTTTCTACCCCTGAACTTTCCAAAACCAGTCAAATAACCTCCAAGCGGTTTTGGATGGTGGTTTTGCTACAATGACAGTGGTTTTGTCTTTTTCTTTTTTATTTATTTTCGCTGAATCTTTGAAAAATCATAGTAAATCACAGAAAAAATCATAAAATGGAAAATCCAATTCTGTTGGACTCCACATGAGTAGATCTACATAGTGAACATATAATATGGTATGATTTAGTACAAAGTTTTTGTTGTAGCTTTAGATCTATGCTTTTCTGTAATTAATTGGAATAATTCATAGTTGTAGCTTCTATGGTCCAATTGTGGTGAACTTTTTATGGTGGGCTAATTATTGTATGCTTGAACTGTAGTAAAAATTTCATACTCATTGGATCATGTATAACTTAGTTCCTGGGCCTGGTGCAAGCGGTAGATTCTTACGGCATGTGACCAGAAGGTCCCGGGTTCGAGTCGCGGTCTCCTCGCATTGCACAAGCGAGGGTAAGGCTTGCCACTGACACTCTTCCCCAGACCCCGCACAGAGCGGGAGCTGTCTACACTGGGTACGCCCTTTAAAAGGGATACAGATGGGATGACTTGGATATCAGATGGATTTTAATCTTTTTTCTATAGAAACGGTCCTGTTTTTTATTATGTAATTTTCAGCACAAATATAGGCTGCAGAAAACTTTAAATTGTTTTCCTGGTGGTCTATTTTGTTCAGTGGATTATTTATTCATGCAATGCTTTAAGCAATTTTGCCTTTTGATGAATTGAGCAGCACTTCTTAACTTTGTGCTTCCGTATAATTAGTTTAAGGAGATAGGTGGAGATGCAAGAAGCAAAGGAGCAGTGGAAACTGGCAAACCTTCAGTACAATCAAATGAGAAAAAGAAAGGTTTTGATTGGATGTTTACAAAACCTGTTGATGAAGTGAAAGACCATTGGGTATGCTGAGCCTGAGCTGTATTATGCGTTGACTACTTATACTTTCTATATTCTTGGAACCATTTTGGTTTAAGCTATTTCATCGCTTATATTGTTTGCATGTTATTTTTTATAAGAATGTCTGCTTCCCTGCTACCGCTACATGCATATAGTTGGCTATCTGTATTTTCTAACCTTTCATTGAACATTTTGTCAGCTCATGTTTGTGCTTCAGTTCTATTAATTATATGTTAATATGTCGTTGTTATTGATCTTATTCCAAGTTCTTGACAATATTTATTATATTGTATCAATGTATCACCCTTTCTACTTATGATTTTTTTTTCTTCACTTGTAATTTTGTTAAGTTTCTGCAATACATTTAATTTTGTACCTTATAGGTCCCAGATGAGGTTGCCAAGAAGTGCCACTCGTGTGCCGTTGATTTTAGCCCTTTCAATCGCAGGGTAATCTATATTAGCATATTTGTCCTTGCATTCATTCTCTTATGGTAAAATTCTAATGCCTGGAGATGGGTTCCTTTCTCGCAGCATCATTGTCGGAACTGTGGTGAAATCTTTTGTGACAAATGCAGTCAGGGAAGAATTGCTCTGACAGCTGAGGATAATGCTCCACTTGTCAGAGTTTGTGATAGATGCATGGTAGGTTCTGCTACTCAATTGTTACTTATAATTTCTTTATTCTTACATTGATTGGAATTACTTTGCTTCAATGTTTGTTTTATACCGTTAGCTCTTTGCTTCAACTTGTTTGGGACTTAAAGGCTTTGTTGTTGTTGTTGTTGTTGTTGTAGCTCTTTGCTTCAACTCCAATTTTATGGGCACTAGCATTATTAGAACAGATTACCCAGTAGTTGTTAGTTCAGTCATCACTTCTTCATTGCTAGCTGTTTCGAACCAGGATTGCCTGTTATATATATCGCGTGTCTTGCTGATTTCTTTCATAATGTTACTTCAGAGTGGGCCCACCCTATATAGATAAGGTTATTTGGTTATTGCAGTTCTCTCTGCCTAATTATTACTTCCTAATTCTTGTTTAAGAATGTATTTCTGGATTGTTACTTGTTAGTATTGTTGTGAACGCTTTCATTGGGAAGCAGTACGGCAGGAAGAAGAAGGCGCCAGCAGCCTCTAGTGGCTAATTATGGGCCATAGTTATCTGTTAGGGGGGCTGTTGCTACAAGTTAGGATCTGGAGAGTGAAAATAGGAGATTGGTTCACAGTTTGTTAGTGCTCAGCCGCGGCCATTAAGGGATATAACTAAGGGCCGTCTGATTAGGGGAGTCAAGCAGAAGTAGAGTCGTCTTGTTCAGAGCCTCCCAGGGAGGGTGAACTAGCTCTACCGCTGCTGCCATTGCTAGGTTTAGCCATTGTTGAATAATCCCATCAATAAACAGTCAGTTCCCTAGCCTTATCAAGTATCAACTTAAATACATCTTGTCTATGTTTTATTCTTGCTTTGCTACTTGTAAGTTCTGTTTTATTAAGTTCCTAGCTGCATCAAACGGTTCAGGAGTTTCTGATAGGTTTATATGGAAACTATGATTTTCCGTTGGTGAAGTTGCATGCCATTTGTTCATAGTAGTTCTTATGTCATACAGGCCGAGGTCACTCAAAGGCTTAGCATTGCTACGGAAGCTGCCAACAGATCTGCAATTGTGCAAAGTCATGAAGATCTTGCAAGAAAACTGAAGGTAATATATTGCTTTTCCTGTCATATATTCGTTTAAGTGGCTGTGCACTTGAATTAATTGTGCATGCTTGGTTTGAAGCCAAGAGTTGTGAAAGTACTACATTTCAGAAATGTTAGGCGTATTAGAATTCAAATAAAGACAAACATAGTAAAGTTTGACCATCAGTATGTCAAAATATATGTATGTTTAGTGCCAATGTGATGCATCAATAGATTTGTACCATACGTCACATATAATTGATAATATATTGTAAGAGGAACTAATGGTCTAGTACGCCTTCAAAGATTTTCTGAAATCCTAATAGGCCTTATAAAAAGATATGGGGGGAGTATTTGGTTCACTGCCAGAAATATGGCAGGATTTCATTTCCTTATTGATGTGTCCTATATAATCTTTTGCCCAAGCATGACCAGATTGTGGATGGACAATTTTCAGAACCAAATTTGGTTTTTCCATATTTTGTTGAGTTCTGATAGGGTAAATGTAGGCACTAAAGCACCAAAGAGGTCAGTACAGGCAGTGCCAACATTCTCCGATGATGATTGGCAATATTGCTGTTGTAACGCTCATTGTAATGAAAGCTGTGATAATGCTTCAGGACGTTTTACTAATCTACCTGCAAGTTTCATGTCATTTTAATTCAAGAAATAAATTAATGAAGTTGCAAATGAGAAGTAAATAGCACATCATTTTGGTTATTCACAAGGCAAATGAAGACTAGATAATCATGAAGCTGCAATAATATATATAAGATATCTATGATTCTAACAAAATTCTGTTGTGATTAGGAGGAAATGGAGAAAAACCGCAAGTCTTCAGGTACTTGTTTCTTTCCATCCCTTTTACAAGTTCAAATTACATAGATTATGAGCGCATCAGAATTGTGAAATCTCTGCTTCAAAAGGTCCAGCATCTGGTGGTGGTGCATCTGGTACCAGAATGAGGGAAGTCGCGTGCCCTACCTGCACAGTCCATCTTCAGGTATGTCAAAAAGTTACTGTCGCAGCATAACACAGATTCTTTTATGCTCCTAGTAATTATTCATTTAGTATATTATATGCCCTAACTACTCTGGCTGTGGAATTGCAGGTTCAGGTTCCAACATCTGGCTCAGAGACAGTAGAGTGTGGAGTGTGCCAGCATGCCTTCCTTGTCAGCGCCAATTGATACACCGGGGAGACAGTGCATGCTATAGAAATTATTCTGTTGATAACTGTTCCTTTTCTATTATGCTGTATACATAATAAGTGTGCGTTCTGTCAGCCTGTACATGTTTCATTGATTGTGTTGGTGATCACGGTTAGGATATGTTTCCCTTTCCCCCTGTACATGGGTGAATTCCAATTCGGGAGTATTGCAATGCTGGATGTATGCAGAGAATACCATTAGATTATACTTGGTGGAGCCTGAAGAGCGAAGACTGCTCACGCACGCGTGTGATGTCCGCATTATGCCTGCTTGAAGTTCTATCATGTTGCTTCTTTAGTACCTTTGTGCCCCTTTAGAGCCAAAAAAAAAGAGGGTATATGTTTTGAAGCAAATTTTGTACAGAACGTCTTCTGTCAGGTATTATCGGATTGAGGTGCGTGTTGATCTAGGACTAAAGTCTAAGAGGTGTCACATCAGTGTTCGGATAGTAATAATAAAATAAATTATAGAATTCTTAGATGAATTTATTAAGTCTAATTAATCTGTTATTAGCACATGTTTACTGTAGTATCACGTTGTCAAATCATAGACTAATTAAGCTTAATAAATTTATTTCGTAAATTAGTCTTACTCTGTGTATTTAGTTTTATAATTAGTTTATATTTAATACTTTAAATTAATGTCAAGTATCCGATATGATAGGAACTAAAAAAAAATTAGGAGGAAACCAAGCTCTGTCCTATTTACGGCGTGGCCGTTGAGGAACGTATATACAGTCGAAAGTGCCGCTTGTTTGTGCGTTTGCCTTTTGGCAACACATTGTTATGGCAAACACAATCGGTTTTCTAGAAAAGATCAATGCCAAACAGAAGCGACCAATGCCAAACAGAAGCCCAAGTCGGAGCATGCATGTCCCTCTATTCAAAAACCTCAAAAAGCCAACTGTCCGTCTCTTTTTCAACCGATTCATCATTCCCCTCGAACAGGCATTATTGGCAAACAAACAGGGTTAAGAAAAAGGGCCATCAAATGATCAAACCCAAAGCAGCTATACATTCTCTGCTCAGCTAGCTCGGAGAGCTTTCTACTGCTCGTTCCATCGAGGCAAATATCGCAGGGAGGGGAGGGCCTAGCATGCTCCATGTGACAGGCATCCATGCACGGGCCCAGCAAAACTGCAAACCTCTGGTGTAGGTTGTGTAGCCTTTGTCTACGAGCATCATACATGTACACGCGTAGATGGCAGTGGCACATGTTATCCGGCCGGTACACCCGCGCGGCGCCTCTACACGTCGCTGTGCCGTTTGCCGGGCACGGCGGGGCGGTGCGGCATGTTGCTTGCATGATTGGTCGCCATGAAGCCTAGAAAGCAGCGTCCACGGCGCGCGCCTCGGATAAGCCGCGGCGCAAGCACTATCATCGTGTTCCTGAAAGCGTTGTATCATGAAGCAGGCCTGCAACAATGCCAAGCACGGACTCGAGTAGCAAGCAGTTCAGTCCCAGTCCGTGCAGGTGCTATGCAGGCAGACGCTGAAAGACTTGACAACGAATGACAACTGCACTCTCATGGCTAAAGAAAGCCTACCTAGGCGATACAGAAACCGGAGCAGGCTCTAGAGGTGGCATGATTCGACGTGATCTGATGAGTGTGTAGAAGCTGCGTGCGGCTCCCGGCTCCGGCACCGGCTGGCTGGCCTAATCCGGCATGGCAGCGGCGGCGTCAGCCTGACGGATGTTCGTGTCGCAGAAGCAGAGCTGAGGTGCTTGAGTTTCTGCATCTACAACTCCTACATGAGAGCAGAGCTACTTGTGCTGCTAAAATGCTGTAGCATCCGGCACAAGTTTGACGGGGAAATTCCTCCCGAGAAGGCTAATCGATTGTGGGATCGTGCTGTCTTTTTGACCGGCAATTTGGCAACGACCGGACGGTATGATTACTTGGCACCTGACTTTCTTATCAGTGTTCGTATTCCGTTTTTGTACAATAAATCATTGACAGTAGTTGTGCACTTGTGCTGCTGATGAGAATAAGTTAGGGGAGATTTGATCATTTCTTGACGGAAAGAAAAAACAGTCAATGAGTTTTGTGTTCTGTATATATGAAGTAGTATTTGCCCACCCGCTCTGAACCTTGAATAATCTTGCAAAAGCATCTGATGCAACAAAATAGCATTTTTTGAAAGATGCACCAATAGCATGTAAGAACCAAACGTCTCAATTATCCTCAGGCAATTTTCGTTTGCCTTTGGCTAGCGAGGTGTGTTTCTGTTTCGCATCTGGACGCTACACTGCGTACGTGGGAAAAACTTGCACGGGCTTTCCCCACTTCAGTAAAATCACCCTTTCTCTGTTCATGAAGCCTGACATATATATAATATTGGGTACACCCCCCATATGGCCATACCCTCTTTCCCCACTTCAGTAAAATCACCCTTTTTCTCTTCATGAAGCCTGACATACATATGGCGCATCCCCCATATGGCCATACTATTTCTCGCCCGTGAACCTTCCGTATACTACTAACAGTCAAGAAGAAAGTGAAGAGCGCAAAGGGGAATCTCATCCAACTGAAATACTGAATTTCTTCCAGTAGTGGTTGCAACTATCACGTACAGGATGAAACTGTCAGTTTGGTGGGTGATGCCATACTACTACTATACAATAGCACTGACCATCATCTTGGACAAATTCCCCAATATAAAAACCCAAGCTGTCCACAAAAGGATTCGAGATCCCCATCTTTTTTAGAGTTCTCGAGATCCCCATCTTTCAATTGCCACCCCGTTTGATACGGTGGAAACGATAAGTTGCCCCCTCTTTCCAGCCCCCCAAAAGTCTGAAAAGAGGCCATGAGCTTGCAACCAACAGTCCATGCCCTTCATCATCTGGCCGTTTCGACGTCTGGACGTTTGACGTTATCCATCCGTGCCCCATTATGCAGCTCTCTGATCAGATCAAGACATCAAGTGCATGCCATCCTCTGTCCAGAAGAGCAAATTTGTATCGTTGCATGCAAGGACAGGCATGCATGAAGCCGCATCGGCCATGCTTTGCTGCCCAGGCGGCTCTACCACCCGGCCAGCTAGCTCAAACTCACCCATCAGACCATCGGTTTCAGCAGCCCAGGACCCTCGTAGTAGTAGACAAGCACCAGAGGGCAGGATGCAGGAGGACAGCCGATACATAGGGCTGGGTAGGGTAGGGTAAGGACTTCCAATAGTCCATTCCATTGGGCTGCTGGCTGCTGCGCAGATAATGCTTGCATGGATGGTGGTTGCGATGGGGACGTGAGCGAGAAATTGTTCGAGTGGCCAGGCTAACCAGCCGGTGATCGGCCAGGGCTGATCCATCGGTGGTTCGATCGGAATTTTGCCTTGGATTCTTGCCTACGGATGCTACGATTCCGGATGTTCTCTTCCATCAGATGGAAGTATCATATGGCTGTGGGGGTGGGGGTACGGCTTCCGGTACCCACGAGATAAAATATGGTCGCACCAACAAAGGTGGTCCAGCGTACAAAATCAAAGCATGCACCGTAAAACTACATGAACATGTGATTTATTGTATAATATTAAATAGGATATTTTTCTTGTAACCCCACCTCCTCCAGAGTATATAAGGAGAGGCAGGGGTCCCCTAGATGGGATATATTGAATCTGATACATAATCAATACAAAATAACAGAGCACATGATGTAGGGTGTTACGTCAAACTGATGGCTTGAACCTATATAAATCTTGTGTCTTGTGTCTCTGTTACCATCTGGTTTGTATCACGCGCACCTCCACCGATTCATCTACTACTGTTGGTATATCCCTCGATAGACTATCGATCAGATTTCATCGACAGTGGCGCGCCAGGTAGGGGGTGTGCGTGCTGATCCCATGACGAACCAGATGGTGTACCTCAAGATCAACATCATCCACGACAAATCGCCATCTGCCGGCGGCGGCGCTCGATGTACCGATCGGCAACGTGACGCCCAAAAGAACTACGTCTCTACATCTCCATACCTCAGTGGCGACAAGCAACGCCCCTTGCACCGATGTACCAGCGGTGGTGGATGTCGCCGACCTCTCGAGCCATGCGAGTCGATTGCGAGTAATCGTCGAAGATATCAAGGTTTGCCTGTACACCCTTAGCTAGGATTCGATCATCTATGTTTTGTGATACGACTCCAACACAAAATTGAATATGCCCAACTATAAAAGCTAAGCTAGATTTTTTTAACTACAATTAAATATTCTTATATACTTACACGTCTCTCGATGCCTCCGTTTGTCTTTGTGACCATGAATAGCAGATGCGGCTCACACCATCGACTCATTATTGTTGATTCGCCGGTCCCGCGGCATCCTTCGTCGTCGCATCTCGCTGTCAACATCGTTGGCTCATCGACCACGTCCCTCGCCGATAATGTGGATCCCGTCGTCGTCTCGCGGCGGCCCTTTGTCAGCACGTCGCTGCTCTTGTTGTCGTCCTTTATTGGCGGCACTCGTCGTTCAGTCCTCGGGCCACATCGACAACTCGTTGACATCGCCTGCTCATCGACGGCTCTGGTCATCGACAGCATGGACCTCGTCGGCGGCTTGTCGTTAGCATGCCGTGACACCCGTCGACTACGCTCCTCGTCATCGACAATTGCTAATCCAGCACACCGTCGATAAGCTCTTTCGAGTCGAACACGATCTACATTACCAAGCAAGTAAGGGCAAGGTGTATATGTGTATGTGCATGCACGAATAATTCATGCAAACCACATCTGACTGCAGCTACTACGCCCGTTCGACTACGACTACACGTATGACTCCGCGCGTTCATCCGACTGCATCGAGCAGTCCGAGCCAGCCATGCAGCATCGCTTCTCCGACCAGATTGAATGCGGCTACGACAACGATCTCTCCATATCTGATCTGGCTAAGGCCGACCAGTGGCATAAGGACGACGTCGCCTGGACTACTCGTTCCGATCGCTTGTCGCGTCGCAATGATCGCCGCGTAGAACGGCGCTATGACGACCGCGACCGCTGCCATGACGACAGCCTGGAAAGCTCGAGGGCCGGGCAATTTCGTCGACGCCGACCAGATAACGTCATACGCCGCCGATAAGACATTTTGACTAAAGCTAAGTACCTCATCTATATCTGCATTTAATACAGCTTTCTCCAATTATTTTCTCTGAGTTTTCGCCATGCTTCTCCAATTATTAATTCTTCGTTATTCTCCATAATTAAATATTTCCACGTTTAATATCTATGTGTTTAAGATGCTCCATAATGCAATATTTTGAACACATTCTCCGTAAACTCGCCGAGCAGCTACGTTCTCACTTGTGTTATCCAGAGACGGTCCTGTTCGTGATTTTTCCCTAAACGTGCATGGGCAGTAGCGCTCTACGTCATGGACGGTCGGCAGCGGCTCCTCGGCGACGCCTGTACCCATAAGCGTGCATGGGCCGTAGCGCTCTACGCTATGGGGTATGGGCTAGCTAGGGCTGGTGACTCGATAAAGAACCAACTGGTCGGACTCCGTTTATATTTTAAATTTGAACACTTTATAAAAAAACGAACATAATGTCGAATATGTTGTTTATATATTTTTACATCATATACTACCAATTCTACATATTTGTATTACAGAGGCCAGGTTCAGTCGATGGGCTTATTTTTTACTTGCGGGGATTGGATCAGTCGGGATGGACAAGAGGATCATCGTCCGGGTGGTCGCACCACCTGACACTCGGACTTCACCGCCGACCAACTGGTCGGATCGTTAGGCTCGACCGGTTGGTCGGAATGCTCGGCGCTGTTGTTAGACTGCTCGGTGCTCCATACGGCTCGACGCTCACTTCGTTCCCGACCAGTTGGTTGGGCTGCTCAGTGTTCGATTCTTCGTCAACCAACTGGTCGGATTGTCCGTCGTTTCATCGTCAGCCACGCTGGGGGCTCGTCAGCTAAGCTGGGGACTCCCCGGTGTTCGGATTCTTTGTGCAAGCGTCTCCAGCTAAGCTAGGGACTCCTCGACGTTCGGATTCTTTGTGCAAGCGTCGCCAGCTAAACTGGGGACTCCTCGGCGTTCGGATTCTTCGTGCAAGAGTTTTCAGCTAAGCTGGGAACTCCTCGGCGTTCGGATTCTTCGTGCAAGTGTCTCCAGCTAAGTTGGGGACTCCTCGGCGTTCGGATTCTTTGTGCAAGCGTCGCCAGCTAAACTGAGGATTCCTCGGCGTTCGGATTCTTCATGCAAGAGTTTTTAGCTAAGCTGGGGACTCCTCGACGTTCGGATTAGACTCCTCGGCGTTCGGATTTTTTGTGCAAGCGTCTCCAGCTAAGCTGGGGACTTCTCGACGTTCGGATTCTTTGTGCAAGCGTCGCCAGCTAAACTGGGGACTCCTCGACGTTCGGATTCTTCGCACAAGAGTTTTCAGCTAAGCTGGGGACTCCTCGGCGTTTGGATTCTTCGTGCAAGCGTCTTCAGCTAAGTTGGGGACTCCTCGGCGTTCGGATTTTTTGTGCAAGCGTCGCCAGCTAAACTGGGGACTCCTCGACGTTCGGATTCTTCGTGCAAGAGTTTTCAGCTAAGTTGGGGACTCCTCAGCGTTCGGATTCTTTATGCAAGAGTCGCCAGCTAAGCTGGGGCTAGGGACTCCTCGGTGTTCGGATTCTTCGTGCAAGAGTTTTCAGCTAAGCTGGGGACTGCTCGCCGTTCGGATTCTTCGTGCAAGAGTCGCCAGCTAAACTGGGGACTCCCTTGGTGATCGGATCTTGCTACGTCTCATCGGTGGGCTATCAACTTGCTTCGTGTTGTTCGGATGAGGGTGTTGATCTTGAGTAGCACGTCTAGGGTCTTGATACGCACATGACAAATGACGTTGGCAAGTTTTTAGGCTTATTTTTTTAACCCTGCTACAAGATTCATTCTTTATCTTCCAGCAGGCTCAGGGACCAAGTGGCTACACTTTCACCTAGCGGTGAATGCAGTGCTCTTTTCTTGATTTACCCTCCTTATTGATTAAAAGGAGGGATGAACCAAACATGTCCTTATTAAATTCGTCTCACGGATTATTAAGAATTTTTATAATTTATTTTATTATTACTATCTAGATATGCGATGTGACACCTCATGTGATAATCGATCGTGACACTCCTAATCTTAAGTTCCTGATTCTACCACCCAGCTGCTCCGTCAGCGGAGGGAGCGAACTCCGTGTGGGCTATTCGCTGGCCTAAAATAAAGTTTCTCTCGAGACCGGCCAAAATCCAGCTGGTTTTGCCAGATTTTCTGCAAATTCCGCCGTGACTCGAGGAGCTGTCCACACATACGGCGTGCGGAAACAGTAGCGATGCCGTATCAGTATGTCGGCGGCGGCACGTGGGGAACCTCCTCGCGAGTATGCATGCAATGCGTACCCGGACGTGCGGCGCTAAGCTTTACTACGCTTTACACGGAGTGAACAAGTGCATGTTTAGTTCCTAAAGTTTTGTAAAATTTTTCAAGATTTTTCGTCACATCCAATCTTTAGACGCATACATAAAGCATTAAATATAAATAAAAAATAAAACTAATTACACAGTTTAGACGAAATTCACGAGACGAATCTTTTAAGGCTAATTAGATTATGATTAGACATTAATTGTCAAATAACAACAAAAATGCTACCGTACTATTTCCAAAAAAAAATTCACCAACTAAACGAGGCCCATGAAACACTCGCTCAAGACGAAACAGCTTTTACTGGTCCATCAGGCTGACCACCAACAATGCACTACTAGGCTTAAAAAAACATGCACTACTATGGGACATGGATGCCTCCTGGCTGTTTCTTCGGTTGCCTCCCACAAACAGTAGCCGGACCCCTGCCCAAAGCTAAATAGTGCTCGTTTTTTTCGAGTAAATTCATGAATAGTTCATAAATTTGCACGGTGATGTCATCGTCTAGGTCTTTAATAACTCTTGATTTTTACATTTCAGTTTTTGAAAACTTGTATTGAGGTGTCACTTTGGTCCTAAACTCTCAAATTTTGATATTTAGATCCCTAAATTTGTAAACTAGTGTCGTTTAGTCCCTGAACTTGTTGGTCAACAGACAATCAACATGACCTTTTAGCGCCATTTGTGTATTGATGTGTAAATTCAGGGATCTAGGTGACATCGCCATACAATTTTGAGGATATAAATATCAAAGTATGAGAGTTCGAGACCTGAGTGACATCACAGTACAATACAAGTTCATAGAGCCAAATATAGAAAAGTCAAGAGTTAAGAGCGACTCCGTCTCTTTATATCTTTCTGACAGGAATAGAGAATTTTTGTGAAAAATGTCCTCCAAACATCTTTTTCAATTAAATCTCCAAATGTTTTCATACTCTATTTATAGTTTTCTCGCTAGTTAAAGATGAAGAATGAAGATAGCCCTCCAAAGTATGCACGGGATATAAAAGGAACTGGTAGAAAATGAACAAACATTTTTAGATGACGGAACGAGGTTCCAAGAAAATCAACAGATATAGACCATGTTAGCTTGAGCTTATCCGTCAGAATCAGCCATACTTTTCAGCCATAGGAACAATGTTTTTCTCTCACAACAAATCAGCCGCAACAGCAATAAGTCCTGCGAAACAGGACCATAGATAAGAATGTTTATTCAATGGCTTGATTTATCTTGGAGATGTTACAAGGATCCAGATGAAGTCGGCGTTTCTTACTCCCCCCCAATGTGCCCCTACCCCAGCGGCCCCTTCCTGTGTCTGGTGACGTCACGTAACAGCCGCCACGGCAGCATCTCGTTGCGTTGCCTAGCTAGCTCCGCCGTTGTTCACACGGCATCGACTGCACAAATCCGTGAGTTCAGTCTAACAACACCATGCAGCATTTCCATTCTGATGCAATGGAAATGGGGGATCCCACTGATTCGAAAAAAAAAAACACCATGCAGCATGCACGGGACGGGTGATGTACGCGTATGGAATCCAGTGGAAACGGAACGCGACGCTGCTTCACTCCGGTACGACGAACGGAACAATCGTGCTTGTGACTACACGATTCGCGCGCTAGTCACCCCAACAACTGCTTTGAGCTGTACAGATTCGTCCACTTCCAAACTCCAGCCCCCACCACTCGAGAATGCGGTAGCCAAGGCGACGTGGGAAAAATCTCTACTACGTAGAAGAGAGGGCGACCGGCCCGGATGTGTACAACGCGCACGCAACGTCGGCGTCGCTCGAAACGACGAAACCCACGGAGCCGCCGCTGACCTGCGACCGTGCGGCGGGTGCTGGCCGCACCGCACGTACGTTCCCGTGACCAGAGACTCGGCCGTGCGCGCCCCGGCACAGAGACACGAGCGCAGGCAGGCCGTTCGCGTCTCCAGCCTTTAAACGCCACGACGCGACGCGACGCCAGGCCGGGACGGGAGCGAGCGGCGCGGCAGCCGAAGCGAGCAAAAACGACACCAACGGGCGGATTTTTAAGTCCGCTTCCCTTCGCCTTCGCCTTCCCCCGTCTCCTCTCCTCTTCCTCTCCCCCCGTGCCCTCCCCCATCCTTTTTTTACCCGCCCGCCCGCCCGCCAGCCGCCGTTTCGGTTGCTCGGCTGGGGTAGTGCCAGCGAAGTCTATGGCGGCGTCGGCGAGGGCGTGCTTGGTTGCGCTGGCCCTGGTGGCGGCGCTCATCCTCGACGGAGCGGCGGCGGAGGGGAATGCCGGAGGCCGGTCGCTGACGCTGAGGCAGCGGCGCCGGCAGCTGCTTCGCCAGCGCCAGGTGCGCAGCCACCTCAAGCGCCTCAACAAGGCACCCCTCGCCACCATTCAGGTACTGCTGGCCCCCCTACGTACCCGTCCGTCTCCTCCCACCGCACCGGCGACGGCGAGCGTACGCCTCGTTCCATTTCCATCCATCCATGCGTTTCGCATTCCCTCGTCAGCAGTTTCGTTTTCTTCGGGTTATTGTGGTGGGACAGTGGGAGTGAATCCAAGTGAATCGATTCCATGGGTGGAAAGAAAGAAAAAAAAGCGAAGGTCCTGCATTTGGCATGCAAGTAGGAGCAGGAGAAAGCCGCCCCTTTCGATGCAGACCAGGGTTCTTGTTTGTGCCTGCGCGCCTGCCGCGGCGCTTGGTCCACTTCGCCGCTTTGGAAGGGTTGAATGGCTGTTCCTCGTGGACCATCTCCCGTGCCGTCGGCCTCGCTTTCCTTCCGTCGCGGGAGGAGAAAGTCTCGCTTTTGGACAAATTTTATGGGTGCTCGTGCTTCCTTTGGTTCATTGAACTCGAAGCTAGAGACGCTTGCTTTTGCCCTCTTTCCTTTCATCTTTGGAGAACTATCACAGTTCTTTACTTTCCTGATGAACCATTGTTCGTTTGCAGAAACACTATAAGCTGTTTGGTTAATACTCTCATCTTTGGAGTTTTTTTTTCCAATGTAGCATTGCTTGAAGATGGAATTTCATCACTTTTTTCTCTTTTTCTGCGAATGAGAAAATCTTACATGTACAGAAAAAAGATTCACAGAAAATCGTACATTTCAGAAAAAAGTTTAGCACAATTTTTTTTTCCCTGCATTTTTGCAACTGGTACTGTTTATGAGAAGTTCAACTTAACAGAGTCCAGATGGAGACATCATAGACTGCGTGCATATCTCCAAGCAACCTGCCTTGGATCACCCCTTCCTCAAGAACCACACCATCCAGGTTCCTCTCTCTGCAGCGCCAATGCTCTTTCCCATTTCGCTTTCTGCAGCAGTGCTTCTACCCCACACATCACTACAGCAGCACTCAAACATGCTCTATCATCATCACCTTTGCAGATGCGGCCTGCATACCACCCGGAAGGTCTGTATGATGAGTCCAAGGTTGCGTCGCAGCAGAACGCCCAGGCAATCACCCAAATGTGGCACCAGAATGGCAGGTGCCCCGAGAACACGATACCGATCAGGAGGACCAAGGAGGAGGATGTCCTGAGGGCCAGTTCCGTCAGGAGGTATGGCAAGAAGAAGGGCAGGAGTACCGCGAACCCCATGTCGGTTGACCCTGACATGCTCAACGAGAGCGGCCACCAGGTGACTACAGATTGTTTCATCCAATGACCTTAATACCAGTATACTGATATTCTTGTTCTTGAATTGTGATTATCTCTGAAATTGCTCATTTAACCTTGTCCCCTCTACCTCCCATGGAGCAGCATGCCATAGCATATGTGGAGGGGGACAAGTACTATGGCGCCAAGGCTACCATCAATGTGTGGCAACCGAAGATCGAGCAGGCTAATGAGTTCAGCCTGTCCCAGTTCTGGATCTTGGGGGGCTCCTTCGGCCAGGACCTCAACAGCATCGAAGCAGGATGGCAGGTGGAGGGAGAAAGAGAAACCCACTTCATGAAAAGTTCTATTAAATGCTGCCTTGCAGTTTCCATTTCTGTTCTTCATCTTCTTCCATGCGCTCAATAATCTCTCCTCTGCATGCGTCAATAATTTCTCTCTTGTGTGCTGCAATAATGATATGAGAACTGCTGATGAAAGAACTATTAAATGAGTAGGAGCTAGAATAGATTCTGCATCGACACAGAGTTTCTCTTTCATGAGCTGCACTAGGCTAGCAATATGTGTTTAGGAGCTAGGCATGCTCTAATGGTGGATTAAAATGTGCCGTCGCTTTTGTTGTGGCTAATGGCTCTGTGCTCTCCACGAAATTGCAGGTTAGCCCAGACCTGTATGGGGACAACAACACTAGGCTCTTCACCTACTGGACTGTAAGATAAACACCACATTCCTTTAAATCTTCATGAACAATTGTTTTTAGTTTATCTTTGTCCTCTGCCTAGATCTACATCCCTATCATATGATTATCTAATTGGGGAATGGCCTAATGATATTGATTTTGTATTGCTTTGGATACTGCAGAGTGATGCGTATCAGGCAACAGGATGCTACAACCTGCTGTGCTCGGGGTTCATCCAGACAAGCAATCAGATCGCCATGGGCGCCAGCATCTTCCCTATCTCCAACTATGGTGGCTCCCAATATGACATCAACATTTTGGTCTGGAAGGTAAATTCCAAAAAGCTCTCACATGCCGAGCATACTACAAATCAAATTCATGAATGGGACCGGAGAGAATCCGTGGTGCCCACCTGTCTCTTGTTCTTTCTGAAGGCGCCTTAAGGCTTGAGTCAAGGCTACAACTGTGGCTCTAGCCCTGTTTGTGGACGCACTCGCAGAGTGACAGTTGGTCCCACGCACGGACCAGATTTGTCTGCAAATGATGCAACCACTGATAATGATTGCCATTTTTAATAAATTTCTACAAGAATATTCACCTCGGGCTCATGTTTCTTCTGTTAGAAAATCTTACCCTTTCCTGCTAGCAAATATTTCAAATCTGGCTCTTTCCCTAAGCAATTGTGTAATGGCATTGCCATGTGTCGTTGTCTCGTTTCTCCATGCATTTCCGAAATTTCGTTGAAAGATGGGATAATTTGCAGGTCATTATCGTCAAAGGCAGTTACCTTTCCATAGTGCATATGAGAACACAACATATGAGAACACAAACTTTCTTGTGAGCATGCATGATAGTAGCACTAAAAGGACCCTACCATAATAATACTAACCTATCATCATGAACCTATCAGATAAATTCACCCAAAATTTGGGTTTGCGCAGGACCCAAAGGAGGGCAACTGGTGGTTGCAGTTCGGCAACGACTATGTTCTGGGCTACTGGCCGTCCTTCCTCTTCTCCTACCTGGCCGACAGCGCCTCCATGATCGAGTGGGGCGGCGAGGTGGTGAACTCAGAGCCCGACGGCAGCCACACCACCACGCAGATGGGCAGCGGCCACTTCCCGGAGGAAGGGTTCGGCAAGGCCAGCTACTTTAGGAACATCCAAGTGGTGGACTCGACCAACAACCTCAAGGCGCCGAGGGGAGTGGGAACCTTCACCGAGCAGTCCAATTGCTACGACGTGCAGAACGGCAACAATGGTGATTGGGGCACGTACTTCTACTATGGCGGCCCCGGGAAGAACTCTAACTGTCCATAGTGAAGATTTGAAACCCCCTATCAGAAGCCCTAACACCCCCCTTGACACTAGTTTATACTACCTCATTTTCTTCATTTTTTTCTCCCTCTCTTGGTTTTGCTTTTGTTTCACTCTTACTTCTACCCCTAGTTTATTAACTTCTAGGTGAGTGAGTGTGTTTACATGCATGTGAGATTGTTCTCTCTTGCCTCAGATGTTGGTCGTCTGGTTCGTTCTAGGGAGGAGAGGACTGTGGTCAAGTTTCTGAAGAGAAACAGGCCTGTTGGTTTGGTTGTGCCTTGTGTCTGTCAAATAATTTTGTTTGTTTCACCCCATACCTTCAACCCTGTCAAGTTGAATCGGATTTGTTAATTGTTGGTGTCTGTGAGCCTCGCTAATCCTTGTACCGCCAGGTGTGTTTTCTATTCTGAAAAGTGGGTAATCGAGTGCTTAGCTGTTGGAAGATGTGCAAAGATGCCAACTTTTCGTGTGCCGAGTTTGGTGGGCACTGAGTCACCTGTAAAAGTGCAATGTGGGGCCTTGTTTAGATTGTAAATTTTTTCACTATTTCTCCATTACATCAATTTTTTGGACACATGTATGGAGTATTAAATGTAGATAAAAAAATAACTAATTATACAGTTTGATTGTAAATTACGAGACGAATCTTTTGAGCCTAGTTAGGCCATGATTGGACAATAATTGTCAAATACAAACGAAAGTGCTACAGTGCCAAATACTGATTCCTAACCTCAATCTAAACAAGGCCTGGGTGATTATTTATAAATATACGGGTGACTATATTCATTATTATTTATAGTAGTGTGTGGAGGTGCTGCTACTACTGTAGGCTGGTGGAGTTCACATTGCAAGCAACAAGGCGTGCACCATTGCTTCAACGAAATGGTGAGTGGCATACTGGTTGCTGCTGCTGATTGGTGGTACTACTACTACTAATGCAGCGTGTGTGAGGTGCCTAACTTTTGACGTTTTGGTGGTGGTTTTGGATTGGATTCTGAGTGACCCATGGTCTGATGAGATGTGTATCTCTACTTGCTTTTGGTAGTGGCATCCAGTGATCAACTCCCCTCCCTATCGCTAGTCAACCATATTGTTTTCAGTGAAACATTCCGTGTGCTAGACTAGAATGTGCTGGAACGATTAACGAGTGTTTGGTCAGTTGGTCATCACTGGTGACCACTATTTGGTGGTGTACAAACATTCTCCCGCAAAAAGTATATAGCAGGCCCAGTATTTTCAAGCACAGATTAAGAAAACTTTTGCAAGGAGTTCTGGTACAAAAGCAAGCATTAGGCTTTTCTCTCTGTTCCCTTCTTTTTACCACACTCCGATCCGAATCCATCAATCTCAGCTCGCCGGCATCAGTGGTCACTAGCTGGTCAGTTGGAACGTCGTCGGTACATGCCCGCGGCTCACGGGCACGCACCAAACTCTCACGTCTCACGTCTCACCAAAGGGCTTGCCTGGCTGTGCCTGCCTTCACATGGGAAACAGGACGTCCCTGCCTCCTTTTGGTTGGATTCGAACGCTGAAATAATTACACCAGCAAAATCCAGGACGTGCATCAGTGCGTGACTGCGTGGCATGCATGGAATCATGGATGCTGCCATAGGCTCCCACTGCAGCGCAGGCCTCTGCTCTGTGCGGCTGCCTCCTCACTGAGTCGCTGCATGCAAGCCTGCCTCTCGCTTGTTGCGAGTCTGACCTCCCGCTAGCTCGGCGGCAAGGGCGTGTAAGGATCAGGAATTCAGGGTGCATGGGGTATGGGGAGATGATGGATGGCTGGGGAGGCCATGACAGTTGACAGCTTTCACGGTCCGTGTTCTTGCCCGGTGGACAGACGCCCCGGCGGTTTGCTTCACTCACTACTTAAAAAAATGATTTTTAGCGACGGTTCAAAATTTTTTTTTTAGGGGTGGCTGATGATGGAGCCGCCCTACAGTGGCGTGCTCGGGTGTCCAGATACCAACCGCCCCAAATTTGAAAAACAGGGGACGGTTGGTGATTGAGCCGCCTTACAAATAAATTTGGCTCAATCACCAAATATTATTCAATTTATAGGGCGCGGTGATTTGTAGGGCGGTTATTAATCATCAGGGACGGCTCAATTACCAATCACCCCTACAAATGACACACCGTGTATTATTATCTACTATTTGTAGGGGTGGCTCATTCATCACCGCCCTCCTACAAATGACCCACGTATAAAACAGCTACAACACCTTTTTTCTCCTCGGGTCACTCACTCCAACCCGTGAAACAAAGGTGGAAAGATCTTGGACATCTCCCAAAAATTGCTCTACTTAGGGGGAAGGTTTTGGTCTCAAATCCTTTGGTGGAGAGGTTGTAGAGGGTAAAAAAATGCTATTCCACACTTTTTTTTTGAAGTTTTAATGGTTGGTTAGTGAGTAATTTGAGTTTTGTTTTTCTCTCTTCTATGGTGTTTGAGCTACTTATGAAGCAAATTAGACCCAAGTTTTAAATGTACTAGGGTAAATTATGGATTGAAACAAGATCATACCCTTATTTGGTCAATGTTTCTTGATTTTAGTGAACAATTAGTTAGTTTTATAGATGTTTCATGTGCATGTGGATCTAGATCTAGGGTTTGGTTTTTTTATTAATTTTGTTTTTGTAAATTTATGTTTGATAAAATTGGACTAGGGTTTGTATGAAAGATATTGGGTAAAGTATAATTGTTGCTAATTGTCGTCTTTGAAATTGTTTATTGTAATTAATAAATATGTATTTTAATTATTTATGGATAAATGGGTCATTAATTAATTTTCCTCTATCATGGTGTATTTGTATGCTTCATGTAATTATATTAGATTTATATTCATATATATCTGAAGTATATACAATTATTCTCAAGTAGTTATTAATTTGATTTATTTTTATATATATCTGAATAAGTAGTCCTTTAATGTTTGTTTTGTTGTTGTTGTAAAAGATGGAGTACATGAACTCTTGGATGTATGGTCCGTTAAGGTTTAAGGCAGGTTTCCGTGAAGAGGTGGATAAATTTATTGAAGCCGCAAAGAAGCATGCAATGACATTGAAAGAGAATAAAGATATAATTATTTGCTCCTATAAAGATTGCAAGAACCGTATGGCATGGACAGATGTGACTATCATCAGATCACATTTGATTATGCGAGGATTTGTCGAGAACTATACAGTTTGGATTCATCATGGTGAAACGGTTATTGTTAACGACGAGGATGAGGAGGAATACGACGACGAAACCATAGAATCCCTGTCCCAATATTCAGCAGAGCTTGATGCACGAATGGATTTCGAGTTTGGCAATGAACAAGGTGGTGATGCTGGTGGTTGGGATGGTAACGACGAAGGTGGTGCCAATAATGATGGTAGAGCACGTATCGGGGATGAAGATGATTTGGAGGACATGATTCGAGCCCTTGGACCAGAGATTTTACTAAATTGCCCGATAGGTCTAGAAAATTTGGAAAGGGTGATAAAAGCATCGAAGGAGACTGTGTATGGTGTTGAAAAGGGCTGTCCGACACATTGGACATTGCTATGTTTTGTGCTTGAGCTGCTCATCCTGAAGGCTAAGTATGGCTGGTCAGACTGTAGTTTCAATGATCTATTGCATCTCCTGTCATGGGTGCTGCCACAACCAAACTCAATTCCCGCCAACACATACCAAGCGAATAAGGTCATAAGTCCATTGACAATTGAGGTTGAAAAAATCCATGCATGCCCCAACCACTGTATACTTTTTCATGGCGAAACGTTCAAGTCACTGGATAAATGTCCCCGATGTGGAGCCAGATGGTACAAGAACAATGATCTTTATGGTGGGGACGAACCCTCCACGAGGGAAAAGAGGAATAAAAAGGGTACAAAAAAGGTGGTACAAGAATCTCAGCCCCTAGAGGACACTCCATTAGGCAACGATGCAAAGCAGAGAAGAATTCTTACCTTGTTAATGTGGTACCTGCCAGTGACCGACCGCTTGAGACGTATCTTCCTAAACCCTAAAGAAGCCGCACTCATGACATGGTGGGATGATGAGCGCAAGGTGAATGATGATAAGATTGCACACCCGGCTGATTGTAGTCAGTGGTAAAGGTTTGATGAGAAGCACAAAGAATTCAGCGATGACCCAAGGAATGTACGGTTTAGCTTGAGCACCTATGGAATGAATCCCTTCAATGAGAGGATGAGCGACCACAGCACATGGCCAGTGATCTTAACCATGTACAACATCCCAACATGGTTGTGTCAGAAGAGAAAGTACCTTCTCCTCACTATTCTTATTTCTGGCCCTAAACAACCAGACATTGATATGGACATGTTCCTCGAGCCTTTGATGCAAGAAATGGAGAGGCTATGGAGGCATGGGGAGCAGATGTACGATGCGTTCCAAAAGGAGGACTTCATATGTAGAGCAATAATATTTGTTACTATCAATGATAACCCCGCGCTGTTTGCTTTATCTAGATAGATCAAAGGGAAGATGGGATACTTGGTTTGCTTGGATGGTACTATATGGGTGTACCTAGATGCATCCAAGAAGATAGTTTACCTAAGGAACCGACGCTTCTTAAAGACAAGTCACAAGTACCGTAGCAAATTGTTCTTTAGATTTTATGACAACGCCTCAGAGATTGAACCCCCTCTGGAGAGACGTCATAACGGAGAACACGTGTACAGAATGGTAAAAAACATACGCGTCGTCTTTGAAAAGAAGAATCCGGATGGGACAAACAGAGATAGAAGCACACCTCCTGTCGAAGGCGTACCTTTCAAAAAACAATCGATCTTCTTTCAGTATCTGCCTTATTGGCCAGACATGGAGGTCCCCCATGTCATTGATGTTATGCATGTGTAGAAGAGTGTCTTTGAGAGTCTCATTGCTACCTTGATGGACACAGGCAAGTCAAAGGATGGTCTAAAAGCACGGAAAGACATGGTGCAGCTAAACGTGATGCCACAGCTTCACCCGGTACCTGAGGCTAATGGAAAAT